TTGGCCATATTTTGTATGAGCGCTTGGCGCTCCCCCTCCCTCCTTCACCCCTACCCCCATCCCCAAACCCTTCCCTACCTTCAGCAGTATTACTTGTAACGCAATTCAGGGATATTAAAGGGACTTTGGCCACTCACCAGCGCTTCTAGACAACCTTGTGAGGGGGGAAAGGGTAGGGCCCCTCTTTACAGCTAGATTCTCTCTCTCTCTCTCTCTCTCCTCCCCCCCCTCTGTCATCTAGACTGCTTGTAGCGGCCACATGGTCTTAGGGCATCCTCAATAAGAAATATTCTTCAAATAAAATAAGATCCAGATTATAACACAAGGGAATGTCCCTTGTGTTATAAATTCCCTTGAGACATTAGTGAAGGGTGGAGCCTGTGACTAATCTGACACTAATTGTGTCTCTCCTTAAACAGTTCCATTCAACTTGCCTACACCAGCCAAAGAAATACAACGGTTGGGCTCATTTGTTCATTGACAAGTTTCTAAGCCCTGTATTATTCCCCAGTCATTCCCCTATTGCCCAACCACTTTCTAGCCAGTCCCTCAGCGGTATGCATGCAGACTAGCCAAGAGTGCAAAAACTCTGGCTTTCCAAAGCCATGCGCTGTCCTTAGCAATCCTGAGATGCCACCTAGAATGTTCAGAAATGGATGATGGGACCACCAGGCCATCCTCCTTGGCTAATAACTGCCTTTTTCTTTTTTGGTCTTGGGGCTTGAACTCTCAGCTTGGGCACTCTCCCTCAGCTCTTCAGCTCAAGGCAAGCACTCTACCCCTTGAGCCACAGCGCCACTTCTGGTTTTCTAAGTGGTTTACTGGAGATAAGAGTCTCACAGACTTTCCTGCCTGGGCTGGCTTTGAACCATGATCCTCAGATCTCAGCTTCTAGAGTAGCGAGGATTACAGGCATGAGCCACCGGCACCCTGTTTTGTTTTGTTTTTTGCTTTTTTGTTTGTTTGTTTGACAGCTATGGGGGCTTGAACTCAGGAGCTGAGTGCTGTCCTTGAGTATTTGATCAAAGCTAGCACTTTGAGCCACAGTGCCACTTCCAGTTTTTTGGTGGTTCATTGGAGATAAGAGTCTCACAGAAGGGGCTGGGAAGGTGGCTCAGTGGTAGAGCGCTTGCCTTGCATGCCTGAGGCCCTGGGTTCGATTCCTCAGCACCACATAAGCAAAAAGAAAAAAGCCGGAAGTGGCGCTGTGACTCAAGTGGTAGAGCACTAGCCTTGAGCTGAAGATCTGAGGGACAGCATCCAGGCCCAGAGTTCAGGCCCCACAACTGGACCCATCCCCCCCCCCCCAAAAAAAAAAAAGAATCCCACTGACTTATCTGCCTGAGATGGCTTTGAAATAGGGTCCTCAGATCTCAGCCATGAGATCTCAGCGTAAGCCATCCACACCCAGCTGGAGGGTGTGACTTGTCCCTTTCCTACGACTTCTCTCTGCTTCCTGTCCATCATGAGGTGAGCAGATTTGCCACACTGTGATGGTTCTGCTTCCCCCTTCACAGGCCTGGAAGCAATGGGAGCCAGCTAATCACAGCCCGAACCATCTGAAGCCATGAGTCCAAATTAAATCCTCCCCCCCCCACCAATGATGGTCCTAGGGCTTGAACTCAGGGCTTGGGCACTGTCCCTGAGCTTTCTGGCTCAAGGTTAGTGCTCTATCACTTAAGCCACAGCTCCACTTCTGGCTTTTTTGGTGGTTAAAATTGGAGATAAGAGTGTCACAGACTTTCCTGCCTGGGCTGGCTTTGAACTGTGATCCTCAGATCTCAGCCTCCAGGGTAGGTAGGATTACAGTGGTGAGCCACCGGCACCTAGCTACTCTGTGCCATTTTAACTATGGCAAGGTAAAGGACTTCAGAAGATGACCAGTATCACATGACTCCTTTAGTCTGAATTCTTGGTTCCCTGACAGCAAAGGCTGAGGTGTGGGTGCAGGCTGTTGTGTGAGAGGAAGCAGAGTGAGGGGCAGGAAGTAGGGGACAGAGGTTGATAGTAAGGCCACTGCTGTAGCCAGTCAACTGCTGGTCTCTGAGAAGGGTCCAGAAAGAAGATCCAGATGGCCTAACACATCTCTACAGATTTTCCACCTGTGACAATAGAAGACTGATGTATGGAGCAGCCTCTGCCCCCAACACTGGTAAAAGCCACAAATACACAGGCTCCTGTGGAGATTTAAGACTTGGGAGCCACAGGGAGCTCAGGCTGAGAGCTGAAAGTGCCAGGTTGAGTCTAAACTTGCAAAGAACTTTCTACAACAGTTGTAGAAGGGGTAGAATGCTGACACCTAGCCCACTGCCAAATCCTTCGCTAGTCAACACCCATCTCTCATCAACAAATCTCACATTGGTTCTGGCATATGCCCATCACTTCACCCTCCTCCAGGTAGCTTGGAGGAGCCCCAGGAGCATGGCTCATTGTCCCTTCAAAGCCTATCCTAGCCATCCCCACTGATGACAGGTTCCAGCCCTCATGCTGAAGCAGCTCAGCACATGGACTGGCCCTGGAGAACGTCAATCACCCTGGGGTCACATAGCTCAGGCTAGATGAGTCACACTGAACAGAGAGGACTGGCTGTCATCACGGATTCATAGAGAGGCACTCACAGTTCTCCAACGTGAACTCAGGAGACTAGCTCTGTCAGTCATCTTGTGACCATGAAGAAGAGCAATAGCCGGGTGCCAGTGGCTCATGCCTGTAATCCTAGCTACTCAGGAGGCTAAGATCTGAGGATCGTGGTTCAAAACCAGCCTGGGCAGGGAAGTCCATGAGACTCTTATCTCCAACCAGAAATGGTGCTGTGGTTCAAGTGGTAGAGTACTAGCCTTGAGCTGAAAAACTGAGGGACAGGGTCCAGGCCCAGAGTTCAAGGCCCATGACCGATAAGGGGGGGGAGAGAGGGGGGGAGCAGCAACAGGTAAACCTGAGCCCCTGAGGAGATGCTTAGAAGGCAAAGATGCTCAGCAGGCAAAGCATGCAAAGGAAAGCATCGAACTTTCTGTATAAAATAAAAGCAGGCACTTAGGGGTGAATAGAGGGGATTAAGAGATGGAGAGGAAAATGGGGAAGAAAGAGAACCCAAAATGGGGACAGAAGCCTGCCATCCACACAGTAGAAATGAGCAAGCATAGTTTAGGAGAGGGAGATTTCTAGCTCTGTTCTGTTATTTTTTTTTTTTTTTTGGTCGGTCGTGAGGCTTGAACTCTGGGCCTGGGCACTGTCCCTCAGCGATTCAGTTCAAGGCGAGCACTCTACCACTTGAGCTACAGCGCCACTTCCAGTTTTCTGGTGGTTTATTGGAGATAGGCGTCTCACGGTCTCTCCTGCCCGGGCTGGCTTTGAACTGCAATCCTCAGATCCTGAGTAGCTAGAATTACAGGTGTGAGCCACCAGCTCTCGGCTTAGTTCTGTTACTTTTGTGAAACCTTTCCATCTTCCCAAACATTCAAGAAGGGCATCTGTGTGTCTTGTGTAGAAGATTCTCTGTGAACAAGGAATGGATAAAGGTGAGCACCACCTCTAGGCCAGCCACTGAAGGGAAGCCTGGGTCCAACACCTTTGAGTACAAACCACAGACATAGAGACCAGACACTCTGGACAGAAAAGGAACTCGGTGTTCTGACCTTGGTCCCTTTGGCTACTCAGGTCACCATAAACAAAGAGTTTCATACCTTCAGATCCACAGACAGTTGCTCTGCAGGGTAGCCTCAGTCTACCCTCAGCCAGTGAGAGTCTGAGCCAGTGAATAAACACCCTGGCCCCTGGCCCTTAGAAAGAGTACTTGGTGGTTCTTTTTCTTTTTTTCTTGTGGTACTTAGATTTGAACTCAAGGCTTTGTCCTTGCTATAAAGATGTTGTACCGCACATCCAGTCCATTTTGCTCCGGTTAAGTTAGAGTTTCATTTTCCCATACCTCACCCCCAGCCAGTACCATGATCCTCCTATTTACATCTGGGATGGCAAGTGTGCACCGCTACGCCTGGTTTGCTTGGTGGTTCTTCCAAGTCCCCCAGGTGTCCACCAAGGTAGCCTTCTCATTAACACACCCTTGACTGGCCTCTCCTCTTCTCCAGCACTTCCGGGGTCACCTCCTACAGCGGCTGTTCTTCCAAAGATACCTCACTACATCCCATAAGCCCTTTTGAACCTTGCAGCCCCTCCCCTCAGAGATGTCAACAATGTTCCCTGCCCTTGAGCGCTGAAGGGACTCTCGGAGTCCCCAACCATCTGTGGTTTTCTCCAGCTGAGCCAGTAAGCAGGAGCCAACCAGGTGAGCAGGAAATCCGCCATACCTGTCTTTAACCCGGGTCTGGAGTGTCCATCTCCCATGAGCCTGTGGGGCCTTGCCCTCAGAGGACCTCTCCTTCTCAGCTGACCTACTTTGCTCAGACCACACCTACTTCCTGGTGGCCCTGGGATACCAGGACACCGTGGGATGGCCGGAAGGGCCCCCACGGAAGGTCTGCACCTCGGTTTCTGTTGCTGAGCCAAGGGGAGGTCCGTGCAGGGGTGGAGTGGGAGCCATCCATTCAGGGTCTATGGATTTGAACCGGGGGTTCAGCAGCCGGCCCGCACTGCACCCGGGGTGGCGGCGGGTGTTTGCGGCGGCACAGCCGGTTCTGCCGACTCATCCTGGCTCGGCAGGTCCCGGGGCCCGCGTCCCCGCCCCCGCGGGCCTGAGTCACCGCGCCGCGCGTCACGCGCTCCTCCGCCCGGCGACCTGCAGACACCCCGAGTCCGGGCCCGGGCGCGTCCATTCCGCGCGCCGAGGTCGGGGGCGGCGGGGCGCCCCCCAGCGGAGAGCCCGGGCCTTGCAGGCCCACGGTGCCCCGCCGGGGGAGCGGTGTCCAGGTCTCGCTGGGGACGGGCCGGACCACTCGGAATGGCGGGAGGAGCGCGCTGCTCGTCCCCCCCCCCCCCGGCCTCGCGAATGGTACGGCCCGGCGGTATTTGAAGCCGGGAGGCGTCGAGGCCAGAAACGGCGGCGCGATGGGGCTGCGCGCGGGCGGAGCGTTGGGCAGGGCGGGCGCGGGCCGGGGGGCGCCCGAGGGGCCCGGGCCGAGCGGCGGCGGCGCGCAGGGGGGCAGCATCCACTCGGGCTGCATCGCCGCTGTGCACAACGTACCCCTGAGCGTGCTCATCCGGCCGCTGCCCTCCGTGCTGGACCCGGCCAAGGTGCAGAGCCTCGTGGACACGATCCGGGTGAGCCAGGGAGGCCGGCCTGCAGGCAGGAGGGAGGACGCGGGCGCAGGAGGAGCTGAATGTCGACTGTGTGACCTTGACCAAGTGGCACGGCCTCTCTGGGCCTCCGCTTCCTTCTCACTTGCCAGGAGAGAATGGGGCTAGACAGTGAAAATAGAGCTCTATGTATGGGTAACTCTTACCCTGGTAGCCTTGTGCTAGCTACTAGTTAGGTTTATATTGTTAGGTTTATATTGCCTCTCCTTTACGGGAAACTGAGGCACGGGGAGTGCCTCACTTTTGCTGCTGGGAATGGGAGAGGACTAGGGTCAGACTCACCGGAAGGGCAGGTGTTCCAGAAGGCTGGAGCTATTCTGGCAGGAAATGGGGCCAGGAGAGGGGACACTGGAATGTATGTGTCAGGCTAGGCCTACATGGCTTCCCGTCCCTTCTAGACCCGTGAGCAGTGAGCACCTGAGACCCCTGAACTTCACCTGTACAGGCCACAGTGTTTTTCAGATCTACAGCTCTGCCTGGAGCCACCTCCACAGCTTTCCACCAGCCTGCTCCTGCCTGCCTGCCCCGCCATCTCTTGCCTTCGTGCCTAGAAGTCCTGGCTCCTGGTCCCCACTGCCTTCCATGCTTTTCTGTGTAGTGCTTATGCACCCTCTCTCCACCACTGGGCCTTTGAATGGGCCTTTCTCCCTGTCAGGAAACTCCTACTGTGTCTTTACTGTTTCTTCTTTCTCCAGTGTCTGCATCTCCCTTCTCTTCCCCTCTTGGGCTAGGGTCACTTTTCCTGTGTCTTTACCTGAACATCTCACTCCCTTTCTAAGGCCTCTTTGGATACCTGTCACCCTGGCTGCGCCCTCAGGCTCCTTGAGAGCTGACAGGGACCCGCTCTGCCTCTGCAACTGACCACCCAGATAGTTTTCCATGGCCACTGTATCACCTTACCACAAACCTAGTGACTTCGGTGATGTACCTATCACTTTACAGTCCAGAGTCCAGAATGCCCATGCTTCTGGGCACACAGGCCTCTTCCTCATTCCAAAGCAGCAGAAGCAGGTAGAGCTCTTCTTACCATCCCCCTCTCTTCCTGCTGCCCTCCTCTCCTACCTCTCCTACTTTCTCTCCTTTTTTTTGTGGGTGTTTTTGAGACAGGATCTTGAGATGTAATCCCAGCTGGACTTGAACTCATAATCCTCCTGCGTCAGCTTCCATGTGCTGGGATTACAAGTGTGTGCCATGCCCGGTCCTCTTCCACTTTTTTTTTTATTTTATTCCAGTACTGAAGACTGAGCCAGGACTCTGTGCTGGCTGAGCAAGCACTCTACCACAAAGCTACACTGTGGATGCCCTTTTCCACTATTAAGGTCTCTGGTGACCACATTACACCCAGAATTGAATGAGTAAACTGTTCTGACCTCCTGATCCTAAAATCCTGAATTCCCTTCAAAGTCCCTTCTGCCAAAGTCCCTTCTACTCAGCAGCTGGGGAAGGAGCCAGGCTCTTGGATGTGCTAGGCAAGCCCTCTACCATTGAGCCACACCCCCAGTCCAGGACACGGGAATCTTTAGGGACTGGTCTTCTGCTTACCCACCATGATGCCCCAGCACAAGGCAGGAGGAACAAGGACATAGATTTTTCCTGTCTCAGAAACCAAAGTTCCCTGCTGAGAATGTGGCTTAGTGGTAGAGTGCTTGCCTAGCATGCATGAAGCCCTGGATTTGACTCCTCAATACCACACACACAGAAAAAGCCGGAAGTGGTGCTGTGGCTCAAGTGGTAGAGTGCTAACATGAACACAGAGAGGCTCAGGGAGAGTGCCCAGGCCCTGAGTTCAAGCTCCAAGACTGGCAAAAACAAACAAAAACACAAAGTTCTAGGGCTGACCCACTGCCTTAGAAAGAATCTGCCACCTCCAGCTCCTGCTGACCCTTCTGACCTCTATTACTCTTCATCTTCCACCTCCACTCTAGTCCGCTGGCCTCTTCCTTTACCTCCAGCACTGGGAGCTTGTTCTTGCCTCCGGGCTTTTGCATTTGCTGTTCCACTGTCTGGGATGCTCTTCCTTCCCTCAAGTAATATGCAACATGCATTACTTCCTGTGAGCCAGGCACTGCTGGAGCACTTGGTGTGTGTCTGCTCATGAAGCTTATCTGCTCTGTGGGGTCGATCAGTTGTCTTCACACACCACACACACGCCCTTTGATAGATGGGGTAACTGCGGCACAGAGGAGTCGCACAGCTGGTAAAGAGCAGAGCAGAGATTCGAGTGATCTCAACTAGTCCAAGTGAGTCTGCGTCAGCATCCTCAGAGGCCTCTGAGACCCCTGAAAGTCAGGGCCTGGTCTCCTCCCCACTGGGCGTTATCCTGGGTGTGGCTATGCGGGTGCAATATAGACAAGTTTCGCACCCTGGTCTCCGGGGCGGGGAGGACCCCTCACTGCAGCATCTGCCCCTTCCCCCGGTGTCAATCCCCCCACGGCTGGTGTTGGAGCTGCCCTGGCGGCGGCGGCCGGGCAGTGCGCAGGGTTCCGGGGCGCCTGGCTGTTGTGTCCACCACGCCAGTGCGCATGCGCCATAGGAGTTCCACGCGGGTTGCCACGCATGCGCCGTAGGCGTTCCCCCCCCACCCCCCGGCCGGCTTTGCACACTGTCCAGGCGGTCCGTGCTCACTCGCCCTGTGCCTCCTCCCTCCCAGGAGGACCCCGACAGCGTGCCTCCCATCGACGTCCTCTGGATCAAAGGGGCCCGCGGCGGCGACTACTTCTACTCCTTCGGAGGCTGCCACCGCTACGCCGCCTACCAGCAGCTGCAGCGGGAGACCATCCCCGCCAAGCTGGTGCGGTCCACGCTCTCGGACCTGAGGGTGTACCTGGGCGCCTCCACCCCTGACTTGCAGTAGCAGCACCTGCCCCCGCCCTGCCCAGGCCCCTACACCGCCGGGCAGAGTGCGGCGGGGCGCCCCCACGGAAGCCCGGGCGTCCCCCTCTGCACACACGGGACCGCGGCCTTGTCCCCGAAGGATCCCCGAGGAGGAGGGCGTGAGAAAGGAGATGCGCAGCAAAGCCCGGTGTCCCGGGCCAGGCTCCAGCCCCCAAGAACACGGACCTTCCAGATTTTTGGCTTTATAATATCTGTTATGTGGACAGTACAATAGAAAAGAAGGGAAAACCTGAGCGACAGGGGCTTAAACAAAATGGGTTTGTTCCACACGGCCTGGAATCCGGAGACCAATGAGGAGCATGGCATTCCCTCACTAACTCGGTGAGGCTCAGGCCCACTTCCCTGAGATGCTTCTGAGTGCCTGCAGCGCTGCTTACCTCGTGGTCACAAGACGGCTGCCATATCTCCAGAGATCATGTCAGTGTTTAATGAAGAAAGGAGTAGGGGAAGGGGAAGGGCCAGACCAGCTCATCTATCAACTTTTTATCAGAAAGGAAATCTTTCAGAGACTGGAGGGGTGGGGGATTCCCCTCTTTCTGTGTCTCTCTGTCTCTGTCTGTATAACCACACACACTCATCCACTCTGAGTCACTGGCCTGCCCTTGAGCCTTGGGCATCCAGGGGAAGGGCTGGGGAGAGGCATCCCTCAATGTCAGCACTGGCAGATGGGGTGCATGGAGTGAACAGGTAGGACATTCCAGAGGGGCTTCTGCAAACCTGGTTGGCAAACCAAAGTGCAGAGTGAGGGGGGCCTTGCTTCCACTGACCTCAGAGACCCCAGTCACTGGACACTTCCAAGCATCTGTGTCCCCAGCTGGGGAGCTAGGACAGCAGTTTTGTCACCCTCTGAGTGTTCAGGGAGCAAGGCTGAGAAGGAAGAAGATGCAGTGTAGGTGGTAGTAGACGGGTCTGGACACAAAAAAGTGACATTGGAGCTGAGCGCTGGTGGCTCTCGCCTGTAATGCTAGCTACTCAGGAGGCTGAGATCTGAGGATTATAGTTCAAAGCCAGCCCCGGCAGGAAAGTCTGTGAGACTTATCTCCAATAAACCACCAGAACACCGGAAGTGGTGCAGTGGCTCTACACTGGCAGGAGATCTGGCATGGTTTAACTATGCCGGCCCTTTGGTGTGGACCAACTGTGCTGTGAAGGTTATGACTTCCTGTGACCTTGGGCTGGGCTGGGGGATGAGAGCGTGGGACTCTGTACCAACTGCACCTTCTCTGTACATCTAAAGTCACTCCATAATAAACGTTTATTTAATCCCAAAGGGTCACAAAATCTTTGGGCCAGTGGCTAGGTTCTCAGGCTGCTGTGCTGGGCTCCACCTGGGGGCCACAGCTAGGGCCACTATTTATTTTATTTGGCAGTACTGGGGTTTGAACTCATGGTCTCCACTCAGTGCTCTACCTTTTGAATTACACCCCCAGTCCCCTTTGCTTAAGCTTTCAGTTAGGCTCTCATGCTTTTTGCCTAGGACCAGCCTCTAAGCACAATCCTCCCTTATCAGTCTCCCAAGTAGTCCCAACTATGATACCCAGCTTGGTTATTAAGACTAGGGTGTTCTCTCTCTCTCTCTCTCTCTCTCTCTCTCTCTCTCTCTCTCTCTCTCTCTCAAGGGAGTTGTACAAAAAGGTTTCAGTTCAACATGTTGAGACAAGATCTTGTCTGGAAACGCAGTCCTCTCCTCTTTACCTCCTATGTAGCTGGGATTACAGGAATATACTATCACACCCCATTTCAGAACCTCTTATTTGTCAGTTGTGGGGCTTGGACTCAGGACCTGGATGCTATTCTTGTACTTTTGTGCTCAAGGCTAGTGCTCTATTTTGAGCCACAGCTCCATTTCTGGTTTTCTTGTGGTTAAGTGAAGATATGAGTCTCACAGGCTTCCCTGCCCAGGCTGGTTTTGAATTAGGATCCTCAGATCTCAGCCTCCTGAGTAGCTAGGATTACAGGCGAGAACTACCAGCCTCAGCCCAAGAACCTCTTATTTAGACTGTATCAATTGTATTCAAATACTGTCACACACAGACAGACAGACAGACAGACAGACAGACACACACACACACACACACACACACACACATGGGCACTGGCATCCCTAGGCCTTATACTGTGCCCAGAAAATCTGTGTTCTGGGGCTAGTGTGGGTAAGACATTCTCTTTTCTGGAGGAGTTTTCCAAGACCAACTACCCTTTGAGATCACGGCAAATGTCAGGAAGGCATTGTCATGCTTGTGAATTGCTGTGTCAGTCTTAAATAGAACCTTCTGAGCTGGGCCCTGGTGGCTCACACCTGTAATCCTAGCTACTCAGGAGGCTGAGATCTGAGGATCACAGTTCAAAGCCAGCCCAGGCAGGAAAGTCCATAAGACTCTTATCTCCAATTAACCACCAGAAAACTGCAAGTGGCTGTGGCTTTGGCTCAGGTGGTAAAGTGCTAGCCTTGAGCTAAAGAGCTGAGGGACAGCGCCCAGTCCTAGAGTATAAGCCCCACAACCCCCCACCTCCACACACACACACAAAGAACCCTCTGCATACACCAGGCTGGACAAGTGAATGTGCTCATCCCCTCCTAAAAAGTTTTTCCTTCTTGCAGGGAAGGCCCCATTAGGCATAAGGGAAGGAAGGTATGTGAATGGGAACTGACAGCAGGTGGCGCTGCTTTCCTGTCCCAGGAGCAGGGTTGGGCCTCTGGGTTGCAGAACTGATGCTGTGCCAAAGGATGCTGCCCAGAGAGGCCAGATTCAGGCCTGGGAAGGAGGCCTGGCTTGGAGGCAGGAGGTAAGGTTCAGGTTCTGCTTATCTTGTCTACTCTTGCCTTGTACTTTGGACACACCCTGGCCTGTCTGGACCCCTACCTGTCTATGCTAGTGGTGCTGAGCTCCTTGGGGGTCAAGTTCCTATTTGGAGCTCCCATGACCCCATGTATCTGGTCCCCTCTTGCCTGGAACCTGGATCTAGTGAAAAACAGTGTTTAGGGACCCCTGAAGCCCTCACGACTTGAGCCACAGTGCCACTTTTGGCTTTTTGCTAGTTAATTGGAGATGAGATTCTCATGGATTTTCCTACCTGGGCTGGCTTTGAACCATAATCCTCAGATCTCAGCTTCCTCAGGAGCTAGGATTTCAGGTGTGAGCCACCACTCCCCAGCCAACAGCAAATTTTCATGATTTAATTTTAACATTATACATGAGATATTGACCCACACCACACTATGAAGCCAGGTAGGGTTGTGCAGCACTTGGGAGGCTGAGGCCGGCCTGACCTACATCGTGAGACTGTCTCAAAGAGAGGCTGAACTAGCAAATAATTAAATGAGGTGAAACAGAAGGCCACCATGAATCCTAATCCTGGCCATTTGGGGACAAGGCTTTTCAAGAGTCTTTGCCCTCCAGAATTCGATGTACCTGGGTGAGTAAAGGACATTTCTCCTTTCATCTTATTTGCAGGGGGCTTACAGCACCCCCCCACTGGCAGCTGAGCTCTTCTCCCATGCTGGCTTCTGCTCAAGACCTCTTCTTCGGACAGACCTCCCCTTGATGCGTCCCCCTGCCCAGTTTTATTTTCTTCCTGGCACTTGTCATGCTGCAGTTAGCCTGGATGCTTGTCTGCCCCACCCACTAGAATGTGAGACTGGATCTGTGGGCCCAGTGCTGAGAACAGTCAGCACCCTTTGTACGGGGTCAATTAAACAGATGCTGCATGAATAAATCCTGTGTGGTCTGGGCCCTTCTTTTTCATTGCTGCACAGTGCTCCAGAGAGCAACAGCCATCGATGAGATTGTCCTGTCAGTGGACACCTGGGGGTTTTAATTTATTCCCTGCTACTCCTGGACGCCACCCTGTACTTTCTCAGTTGCGCATGTCGGAGCAGGCTGCCTGGCCCTCACCCAGGCTCCCTTCCCCACATCTCACATACGGGTATTGCTCTCTAGGGTGGCTTATCAGATGCTTCTTGCTCGTTCCCCATGCCCAGCAGAGTTGGAGGCCTCTGTTCCTCCCCGGTGCCTCAGCTGGGGCTTCCTTTTCCTTTGTGTGTGTGTTTGGGGAGGAACTGGGGCTTGAACACAGGGCCTTATGCTCTTGTATGGCTTTTTTCTTTTCTTTCTTTCTCAAGGCTAGCTCTCTACCAATGGAACCACACCTAGCTCCACTTCTGGCTGTTTGGTGGTTACTTGGAGATGAGTCTCATGGATTTGGCTTTCCCAGGCTGGCTTTGAACTGTGATCCTCAGATCTCAGCCTCCTGATTAGCTAAGATTTCAGGCGTGAGCCACCAGCACTCATTCTTTTTTTTTTTTTTTAACCTTTTTTAGGTCATGATGGTTGAGAACCAAAAAAACCCATGAAGCTGAATACGGTGGTGCACGCCTGTAATCCCAGCACTCTGTAGGCTGAGGGGCTGAGGCAGGGCAAGGGAGAGTTCAAAAGCCAACCTGGACTACCTGAGGAGGCCCAGTCAAAAGTTACCAAAGCATTGCAGAGAGCAAGGGAAGGTGGGACGTCATCCAAAGAGAAATGTACTCTCTACCTGACGTATAATATAACCTCTTTGTCCATCACCTTTATAATGACAATAAACAATGAAATTAAAAAATGAACTATAGGGGCTGGGAAAGTGGCTCAGTGGTAGTGCGCTTGCCTTGCATGCCTGAGGTTCTGGGTTCGATTCCTCAGCACTACATAAGCAAAAAGAAAAAAGCCAGAAGTGGCGCTGTGGCTCAAGTGGTAGAGCGCTAGCCTTGAGCTGAAGAGCTGAGGGACAACGCCCAGACCCAGAGTTCAGGCCCACGACTGGACCCCCCCCCAAAAAAAAAAGAGAATAAAAAATGAACTATACAAAACAAAAATGAACAGTACAACTCGGGGGGGGCGGGGGTGAGGGATGGAAGGACAAAACTAGGAGAGAGTGAGGGAATGGGTGACATTGTCCAAAAAGAAATATACTCATAGCCAGGCGCAGGTGGCTCACTCCTGTTCAGGAGGCTGAGATCTGAGGATCGCGGTTCAAAGCCAGCCCAGCAGGAAAGTCCATGAGACTCTTACCTCCAATTAACCACCAGAAAAAGCCGGAAGTGGCGCTGTGGTTCAAGCAGTAGAGCGCTAGCCTGGGGCAAAAGGAGCCCAAGGGCAGGGTCCGGTTTAAGCCCCAGTTTGAGGCGCGCGACACACATGCACACGCACAAACACATGCACGCGCGCACACACTCATGCATGGACGCGCACACCATGAGTCCCTCCCCTGGAAGGTGGGGGGGGTCTCTCTGGGGCTCCCTTATTGCTGACCTGCTCCTCCCTGGGGGGCGCGGACCCCACCGCGGGCGGAGCCCCTGTCTGTCGGGGACCGGCGGGGTCCGTGTGATGCCCGTGGCCCAAGCTGGGGAATCCCAGGACCCGGGCGCGGACAGCCCCCGTCAGAAGGGTAAACTGAGGCCCGCCGCAGCCTGCCGCCCGGCCGCGGAGCCCCGGCTTGCCTGGGGGGCCCCACGCCCACGCCGCGCCCCCCTGGCGGCCCCTCCCGGGCCTGACCCCGCCGCCCGCCTGGCGGGTGACCCCGGCGCCCGCCAATCCATTGGTTCCAGCTCCGGGGAGGCGCAGAACAAAGCGCGCTTTGTGGCGGCCGCGGGCCCCTCCGGAACTGCGGGCGACGCCCCCGCCGACAGCCGTGTAATGTCTTCCAGAGCCCGGCCCGCGCCCCGCGGGGACCCCCGCACCGGCCCGGGGCGCCCCCCTCCCGCGCCGGGCTCCGCGCTGGGCAGCGGCGGCCCGGCGTGCGTCCGCCCCGCACCTCACCTCGCACAGGCTGGCAGCCGCGAACCCCGCGCTCTCCCGCGGGGGCCCCCCAGGCTTGTCCTGCGGTTGAGAGACGGTCACACCCCACCCGCCCGCAGTGCTGGGGTTTGAACTCAGGGCCTTGAGCTAGCTGCTAGACAGGCACCCTAGCGCTCAAGCCCCGCCCCCGCCCCGCCCCCTTTTATGCCTTTGTCATTTTCCTTAACGAAGTC